TGTACTGTAGCTCTACGTGTACTGTAGCTCTACATATGTAGCTAATATATTACAAATTGACATTTTAGTGATTTTGTTACACAATCTTATTACTTGAATGTTTTTTTTTGTTGTTTATTTGAAGAATTTATACTGAACCACGTGTTAGAGGGTGTACACTACCTGAAAGAGTTCACCAGTGGCTTAAGCCATCCAACTCCTCAAGGACAACAGTTGCATTTCTCCCTGGCACCAGGTCAGTCCGATCTTTGACTGAAGCGACACATTAAGTTAACTGTTCTCGAACAGATAAATCAAGAAAAGTGATTAATATATAGGCAATCAAATTCGATGACGAGGAACCCCTTTTGAGACTAATAATGCTTGGAGACGGCTTGAACGGGTAATGAAGAAAAACTTTAATATAAGTTCAACATAACAGCAAATGTACAACGTTTCGGCAAGGTTTTGTCATCATCAGGTACAAGTAGTTTATACTGACAAGGTTTTGTCATCATCAGGTACAAGTAGTTTATACTGACAAGGTTTTGTCATCATCAGGTACAAGTAGTTTATACTGACAAGGTTTTGTCATCATCAGGTACAAGTAGTTTATACTGACAAGGTTTTGTCATCATCAGGTACAAGTAGTTTACACTGACAAGGTCTTATCATCACCTGAATATTTATTTTACGTTGACGAATATATCGTTATCATGCATTAAATTTCCAGGTAATGGAGGATATAACCACACCTGCAGAATTACTTGCTAAATATGTATTATTAATTCGCATTTTTCCTTTTTCCAGATGGATCTGTTAAAGTAAATGGTGCAAATATCGTGGAATATAACATTTTAACCGAAAATGGCGTCGTACATATCATTGATCGTGTTCTGTTTACACCACCACTATCTGGTGGTCAACCACAACGTCCGTTTAGACCTGGTGCACCAGGAACAGCTGGTCAACCACAGCGTCCATCAATCTCTAATCGTCCTGGACAACCTGTGGGTGCCTCAAGAGGAAGTGATTCCATTATGCCTCCCTATCATCCACCACCAATTACGACTCCACAGCCTGATGGCCAGGAGCCAATTTTACCTCCTCCACCAGGACTGGTGACTGGAAGTGGTGCTCCTCCTCCCCCAGGAAATACTATTCTTCAGATCATTGAAATGCCTGGTCTCAATATCCAAGGGCAGCCAGTTGGCCTTAACACCTTTTATGACTTGCTTAAAAATTCAGGCTTGATAAATACACTCAACAAACAAGGTAAATAGTTTAATTTTTATATACATTTTTGTATAAATATAAGATTGAAAAAGAAAATTTGAATTTTTAGTTGGGACATAGCATATTTATTACGTTTTTGAGAAATTTTATGGGGCGTTTTGCCCCATGCACAAAAATATTTCAGGCCAAAGAAGTGATTTACTTCCTTGCAGTGAATTATGTTGCTAAAACTTCAAATTTAAAAAATCTAACTTCAAGTTACGAATATTTTGTACCTAAAATTCTAGAAACAATGAGTGTTAAAGCGTTTAAACAATATATTGTGTTAAAATGATTGATTATTTAACGTTGATCCGTTAATGATTGTATTTTCTGACAGGTCCTTTCACAGTGCTTGTCCCTACTGACGACGCATTTTCTAATCTTCCGGCTGGAGTTCTGAATGAACTCAAGAATAACCCTCAGTTACTGAGACGTGTACTTCTAAATCATGTTCTCAGCCTTTCTCTCAACCCGCAAGATCTCCAGAACAACATGGTGATAGAAACAAACAGCGGTCTTCGGCTGTTCGTTAGTGTTCTCAATGGTGGACAGGTACGGAGCATCACATTTAACTGTTTCGGATATACCGCAAAGCTACACGAAGGCTATCTGCGTCAGCCATTCCGAATTTTGAACTGATAGTGATAGACTAGTGGAATGGCAACTAGTCAACAGCACCCACCGCGAAGTCTTGGGCTACTCTAAACGAATACTGGCATTTGACTATAGATCTTATAAGTTACCCAAGTCCCCAAAATGTAAAACGCTATATTGCACTAATAGAATGTTAACGTGAACCTAGTGATTCACAGCTCATCACGCTAACATCTAACCCACACACATAACCTAGTGATTCACAGCTCATCACGCTAACCTCTAACCCACAGTCATAACCTAGTGATTCACAGCTCATCACGCTAACCTCTAACCCACACACATAACCTAGTGATTCACAGCTCATCACGCTAACCTCTAACCCACAGTCATAACCTAGTGATTCACAGCTCATCACGCTAACATCTAACCCACAGTCATAACCTAGTGATTCACAGCTCATCACGCTAACCTCTAATCCACACACATAACCTAGTGATTCACAGCTCATCACGCTAACCTCTAACCCACCGTCATAACCTAGTGATTCATAGCTCATCACGCTAGCCTCTGACCCACAGTCATAACCTAGTGATTCACAGCTCATCACGCTAACATCTAACCCACAGTCATAACCTAGTGATTCACAGCTCATCACGCTAACCTCTAACCCACAGTCATAACCTAGTGATTCACAGATCATCACGCTAACCTCTAACCCACAGTCATAACCTAGTGATTCATAGCTCATCACGCTAGCCTCTGACCCACAGTCATAACCTAGTGATTCACAGCTCATCACGCTGACCTCTAGCCTACAATCATTCCCAGGACCCTGGAGGCTAGGAATAATAACTGAGACTCTTCAACACAGTTATCTTTTAACTATATTTTAACTTATTCTACTTAATATAAAAGAAAGAATTATCCATGAATTCATCTCATACTGTTAAGTTCTCGAACAGTATTTTAATTTTTATCAAGAAACACGTTTTTTATCCACTACACTTTGGATCGAAGCTTGAAAAAAATGTATCAAGTTGTTATTCACCAAGAAAAAACTAAATCATAACTAAAATGAAATTAATGAATTATTATATATATATATATTTGTTAGATCAGAACATGTCTTACAGCTCCAAAATATAAAAACAAAATTAATGTATATCGTAAAAATGTGTGTAAATCAGTCATCTTGTTAATCATAAAATATGCTTTTGTTACATAGGTATTAAAAAATGTATTATCGATTTTTGATTTAGAAAATTTTGATTGGAGGACCAAAACTAGTTGCATCAACATTAACAGAAAATGGTTACGTGTACATCATCAACCGATTCCTTAATCGTCTGCCAGCAGTAAACATTGTTACAGAACTTAACAGCCGTGAAAACCTTGCTAAGCTAGTCTCCTCGGTCGTGACTGCAGGACTGGAACAAACATTTCGCCGTAAGTACTAGTTTCTTTGTTAGTGTTTCAAATACATCGGGTATTTATCGGCGAAGGTGCTGTATTTGTATAAAGAAATATATTGGGCTTAAAATTACACTGTGTTTAATGTTTATATGTCTGATTATGGATGTTTTGATATTTTTAGACGAAGGCCCGTACACAGTTTTCGCCCCAACTGACGAAGCCTTCGCTGCCCTTCCAGAAAATGACCTGCGACAATTACTTGGAAACCCCGAGGCTTTGAAAGGTGAACGTTGAATAAGAATTACACAATACTTCATAACAACGTTATTAGCTACCTAGATATAGACGTTCACAAACAGCATTTTAATGATAGAAATTGAAGTACGAAATGTCTTAATCAGGAGGAATGTATAAAAACACTGTAGTCAGTGTAATTTTAATCACTAAGTATAAGGCCTAGATTTTTGGAGGGTGGTTAATGAAAGTGTTCCAAAACGCGACATTAATTTCTTGACGACCTAATAAAATACACGGCCTGGTTAACTAATGAATGAATATTTGCTGTCAAATTCTTATCAATGCTGTATGTGTAGCTATTTGGCTGACAATTTATTAATTATACAAAATAATGTTACGACAGCGGGGGTCACGTGACACTAGTAACACGTCATATTCTCGAAGGTTCGTGAATCCTCGAGTGTTTACTAGATTTGCGGTATTCTTGTATATATAAGACGGCAACGATGTAATTGAATGGCAGACAGAGAGAGATTGACGATTGAGTCGAGCACGTGAGTCGTTCGTTGTGAATTATAGCGTTTGTTATAGCGTGACTGTGGAAATTATGTACTGCAAAGTTGTATTCAGAAAGAATAAACTAGTTTTATTTAAGAAAGGACTTGTATCGCTAAAGTTTCCTCGGAAAGAGTTTTTACGAAAAATTAACAAACTAATGACCAGAGACGTAACAAAACGTTTTAATGTATCTAAAGTAACTATATAGTATTAGTCATGTTCCTGTTGTTTTCCTTAATTTAGTGGCAAGAAGAAACGTTTTGTTGAGATAATGTTGCCCTGTATCATTTATTTATTAAACCAAATATCGCTTCACAATAGTGTAGATACAGTTAGTGTTAATGTTTTATATTTACAGAACTAATGTTGAGATAATCGCCCTCTATCATTTATTTATTAAACAAAATATCGCTTCACAATAGTGTAGATACAGTAAGTGTTAATGTTTTATATTTACAGAACTAATGTTGAGACAATCGCCCTGTATCATTTATTTATCAAACAAAATATCGCTTCGCAATAGTGTAGATACAGTTAGTGTTAATGTTTTATATTTACAGAACTAATGTTGAGAAAATCGCCCTCTATCATTTATTTATTAAACCAAATATCGCTTCACAATAGTGTAGATACAGTTAGTGTTAATGTTTTATATTTACAGAACTAATGTTGAGATAATCGCCCTCTATCATTTATTTATTAAACAAAATATCGCTTCGCAATAGTGTAGATACAGTAAGTGTTAATGTTTTATATTTACAGACTAATGTTGAGACAATCGCTCTGTATCATTTATTTATCAAACAAAATATCGCTTCACAATAGTGTAGATACCGTTAGTGTTAATGTTTTATATTTACAGAACTAATGTTGAGATAATCGCCCTCTATCAGTTATTTATTAAACCAAATATCGCTTCACAATAATGTAGATTCAGTTAGTGTTAATGTTTTATATTTACAGAACTAAATTTTCTTTTAATTATATTAATAAGATAAATGAAAGTTTTATTTGTAATTATGCAACTAATGATTTGTTGCAGAGGTGATACTGAACCATGTGGTAGAGGGCGTTCATTATAAAAAAGAATTCAGCAGTGGACTTGTCCTCCCTACGCCTAGGGGGCAAAACCTTCGTTTTGTTGTGGCATCAGGTTAGTGCTTATGCGTTTGAATAAATACTAACATGTACGTATTCAAGATTTCTTACTACTTAACGCTTTTCTTTGAATGTAACAACGCTTTATTATAGTTATGACAGCTTTCATAAAATAATTCCGCTATTATAACTTAAGTTACAACGTTTACCACAGCTTGTTTTATAGACATATTTAATTATAGTATTGTTACG